TACAGTTGATTACCGACAAATCAACGCAATCACTGAGAACGAAACCTACTGCATTCCCCATATCCAAGACATAATCGATCTTGTGGGAGGAAAAGAACTTTATAGCGTTCTTGACTTTAAAAGTGGATTTTTCCAAATTCCATTAGAACCCAAACATAAAGAACGCACTGCATTTACGTCATTTCTTGGACTCTACCAATTTACTGTAATGGCTCAAGGATTAAAAGGAGCCCCAGGTACATTCCAAAGAGTGGCAAACTCTCTAATCCGTGAACTAAGAGCTTGCTGTTTCGCATACATGGATGACATAATAATTGCAAGCCACTCTATCAAAGAACACCTTAGAGATCTCGAAGAAGTTTTCATACGGATTCGCAACTTTGGAATGAAGTTAACACCCGAAAAATGCTGTTTTTTCAAAAAAGAAGTTCAATATCTTGGAGTCCTAATCAGTAAAAAAGGAACCCGTCTCAACCCTGACAAAATTGCGAGTATAGTAAAAATACCAACGCCAAACGACACAAAAGCTGTCAAATCTTTTTTAGGCGCAGCCTCATACTTTCGACGCTTCATCCCCCGATTTTCTTTCATTGCCACCCCACTCAACAATTTGTTACTGAAAGATACTCCATTTAAATGGACAGAAGAACATCAACAAGCTTTCGAAACCTTGAAACGTGCTCTAGTCAAAGCACCCGTTCTAGTCCCACCAACTTTGGGACAACCTTACATAATACATACCGACGCTTCCACAATCGGAGTAGGAGCTTGTCTACTACAAACTAACTTGGACACCAATCTAGAACACCCAATTGCATACTGTAGCCGCCCACTTACCAAACACGAAAAGAACTACGCTATCATAGAACTAGAAGCACTAGCTATTGTTTTCGCACTCAAACACTTTTACCCATATGTCGCAAATGCATCCATAACATTGGTTACAGATCATGCTCCTCTCAAATCCTTGATGCACAGAACCGATCTAGTCGGTAGACTAGCTAAATACCAAATTAGCATTCAAGCTTACGACCTCAAAATTGAATATCGAGCAGGAAAACATAATACGTTGTGTGACTTTTTGAGCCGATACCCGACAGTTACCACGAATACCGTCCAGATTAACTCTCTAGTTAACATTAATACTTTACAGATTAACTTATTGCCAACTTTAGACCAAATTCGTCAATCTCAAACCCAATCAAAATATGGCACCTTAATAAAATTTCTCAACAAAGAGAACAATCTTGAAGAAGAACTCCCTAACGAATTCTTAAACACTCTTGATAAATATACAATTTTCAACAATTGTCTCTATGCTAAATTCAAAAAACAACCCCAGTTAGTAATACCAGACAAAGAAATGCAAAACAAGATCATACAAGTTTTTCACAATAACCCACTTCTAGGTTCACATTTAGGAATTCGAAAAACCATAAACGCCATAGAATCCAAATACTTTTGGCCAGGAATTTTTTATCACGTAGCAAGATATGTTAAATCATGTCCAGTTTGTCAGAAAATCAAAACTCCATCTGGACAAATAATTCGTGAAGAACTAGGATCATTTCCAATCCCCCAAAGACCATTCGAACGATTACACACCGACATTATTGGACCCCTCCCACAGTCTATCGACGGCAATAGATTTATTTCCATAACAGTTTGTGCTTTCAGCAAACTTATTACTTGTACTCCGATTCCCAACCAGTTAACAGATACAGTCGTAAGAGCACTTATTAACGATGTCATTTCAAAACACGGCATCCCCACCGAAATAGTTTCCGATCGCGGATCCAACTACACCAGCGAAATTTTTGCCCAGCTGAATCACGTTCTCGGAATCGCTAATTCTTTTACAACTAGCTATAACCATAAAGCTAATGGCCAGGTTGAAAGATTAGTAAAAGTCATAACCGACTCATTAACCGCATACTGCTCCGAAGCACGCGATATGTGGTGTGATTTCCTTCAACCCATCGTGTTCGCATACAACACCAGCATTAATGACACTACAGGATACAGCCCATACTTCGTCGCTTACGGACGTCACCCTATCACATGGAGTGATATTATTCATCAACTTCCATCTCGTATTTCCTACGCTTCGGACAGTTTCGCTGATCAACTCACAACAGCTTTACAAACTACAATCACAAACGTTGGAAACCAAATCGCAAACAAAACAGCATTATACAAAGCAGGGTATGATTTTCAGCATAAAGTTTTCTCCAAACAAATCTCTATTGGAGACCTCGTACTCTTACACGATGAAAGGATACGCCCCAAATTTACCATTCCATGGAAAGGCCCCTTTCTAGTAACAAAGATTAATCGTCCCAACATTACCATTCAAAGTTTGATTGGCCCCAAATCTACTCAAACTGTACATATCAATAGACTTAAGATCTATTGTCCCCGCTCTTCATCGGCTAATGTTTCCGCACCAACCTCAACCACTCCTTCACCTAATATAATGGAAACATCAGAAGATGATGAGCAACCTCTAAATCGCCTTCCAAATTTAGAGCCTCACGACCAGGATTTAGAAACTGACAGCACAGACTCTGAAGAACTCTAATTGTGGAAAAATCATTTCTCCACTAACAATTGGTAGGTTTCAAACCTTTTTTTTTTCCATTTTCTCGCGCATCGCTGCTTCAACAATCAAACTCCTTTGAGCCGACGACTCCAAGAAGTCCCACAAACTTTATCGCTATTACGCAAGCGCTAACAATCAACCACAATCACCATTAACTTTAACACTACAAAATTTCGTCCTAGTCTTACACTAGTGAATTGTACCAGTGTAAACTAGCCCCTCCATAATCAAACGTACCATAACTCCGCTTGTAACATTATGCTATACACAGTCTAATGACCAATTTTTGCAATTTATTTTTTTTATTGTACCAAGCAAAACCCCCTATTAGCTACTACATTTTCGCTGTACTTTTCATTACAATGCTCAGCCTAATTTAAATGTTAACATATAATTCGCGCAATAATTTCCAATGTCACCCCACACTTAACAATACCACCCATCCCCCTACAAAAACACCATCCCATCCCCTCGAACTTACCACAACGACAGTCCTCACACGGATCATCATCACTCTTCAACCAACCATCCTTCTTTCCAGCTCGAGGACGAGCTATCTACACCACCCGAAGGAGAGGAAAAGGTCGTAGCTGCGCCAACAGCTCACCTAATCCCCCCTTCACTACGTTCAAACCGCTAGCTGAACGACAACCATCATCAGTATTTCAACCAGCCTATTAATACGCTCGAGGACGAGCTTTCTGTAGGAGCGGAGATGTCATGAGATCATTTCATCAGATTGCATAACATTGGGTAATATTGAGTCACATCACTTGTTATGCAATGTACTGAGTCACCACCTCACATCACTTGTTATGCAATATCTTACCCCGCCCTAACCGCTGTTATTGTTGTAAGACGGACCAGCATATAAGAAGAGGACTGGAGACCTTCAGGGACTCACGGACACTCACACTCACCCCTTCCCCTCCCCCTACCTCTTTTGTCTTTTTATATCTTTAGTAATAAACATATATAATCATCATGTTCAATACACCGTAACACCGCTACACCTTTAGGCAAGGGCTCGTACACCCCTTGTTCCTGACAACCGAAATATTCCTATGCTAACGCTTCGATCATTCTTCTGGAATTATTATTTCATTTTGATCTATTATAAAGTTCCCCGAAAATTTTCCAAGTCCGAGACCGTCCTTAGATCAGCTTCTTGTGTATTCAACCTCGGATTCTTCTGTAAATTTTCTGGTATAGTTCCTTCGGATATAAACACAAATACGGGTATCCGGACACTTCGTCCCCATTTTCCACAAAGATATGCATAAAAATGGACTTTGCCTACCTTATAAATCCCCGCTTACAAAAGAGCTCAAAGCCCGCTTTAATCATAGAAAGAAAGAGCTTACAAAGTTGCATACAAATGACCACATAGCGTTTGCCTATCAGCGCTAATCTCGGTGATATGAGGTCACCTTCGCACCCTAAATTGCAAATCTTACACTTCGGCTGTCAATTACAATACCGCTCACATAATGTGCAAAATTTTCATGAATGTCGCGAAATTCCGGGAATTCCGCGAAATTCCCGGAATTTCGCGGAATTTTCGGAATTTCGCGAAATTCACGGAAATTTTGCACATTTTGTGAGCGGTATTGTACAGTCCAGAATGTTCGATTTCTAATAGAAAAATGCATGCAATGCAACACACAAAAAAGGATAAGCTGCTGGCAATTCAAGCAAATTTAGTGCGTATCCGGGCAACTCGTCTAAGTTGTCTCATAAGTCAGCACGAAGAAGCCTGAAGAAACAGCTTTGAAAATGCGCAAAAAATGTTACTGTATATCTTGTAGTATATGAGAGTGTTATATAATAATTCGGTATGCCATGAGTTTGTTACGAGATCCTGATCAGAACGACTTTTTTGCACAACAAAAAGCAGTTCGTCAGATTGAAATTGTGTTGAAATTACCTACATTCAGTCTGTTAGCATTTACCATTTACAGCATTTACATTCAGTCTGTTAGCAACCACACAAATGATACTCTTTTCGTTATTTCTTCCTTCAGCGAAAATGCGATATGTAATAGAGAGAAACTTTCGCTCTAAAACCATGAGTAGCAAATAAACAGTTTCTGCGATTATACATAATGAGCTATTTAGGAATGTAGCTTACACATGTCGAGCCCATGGTGGAACCAGCAGTATGAGCTCTCAAATTAATGATATATTTTCGCTCTTTCCTTCTTTCATTTTTTAATTGCAGATTCTAGCACTCTAATTAATTCGACGTTTTTGGTCCCGCATCTGCAGTCAGACCTGGATCAGATAGTGCGCCAAACGAAAATGCAAAAAGGCAGAGAATTCCAAACTGCTCATTTGTGGCAAATATTCCATTGTCTGTCATTATCGGTTGGTCACTGACACAGTTGTCCTTTGGGTACTTTACTGATACCACTTAGCGGCCGATGTGAAGATCTAATCACACCAGCAGGTGCTCGAGCAAAGCGAAGATCACCTCTGCCATTTCTAGCAATGACCAAATTCATCGACGATGAAAATTTTTTGCAAATGTCCCCAGAAGATTTTCCGCATACTCACGATGAAGAGGTAGGTGCCACATGCTTTTCTTCCTGTGCAAGGATGCTAATTTTTTAAGGTCATTGATCTGAAGACTTTCGTCCAGCTGATGGTGCAATTCTACAAAATCGGTTGGATGAGAGGAAGTGGTGGGGCATTGGGCTGCATTGCTAGGGATAAACTCTTCATTTCACCATCTGCATTGCAAAAGGAGAGGCTGAAAACGTAAGTATCTTGACGGTAATTATATCGGTCCCTCTCGCGCTTAAAATATGAAAATAAGATTCGAGTCAAAGCTTAGCAAGTGCCTAGCTATAGACTAGTAGACCTAACCATCAACATATTACCTTTTCTTACAAAGAAACTGCTGCTAAAAAATTGCTAACCCTAAAATCCCGACAAATTTGGGCTTAGCAAATGACGCTCAAGTGCACATTCTCACATTTTGCATTAACGTCCAAATTTGCACGCGCAAATGTTGTAGGCACCGCATGAAGACGTATATATTGATCTTAAACATGCTGAAGATTAATTTTGGCAACCCGCCAATCTTGGCTCTCCCTTTTCAAAGACGTTTTGGGAAGATAATGTTATAATTATTCCTAACTATAGTTCTAATACAAATGTTTATGATGTATAGCAGCTCTGTTCTACCATATGGATACCCATATGGATACCCAGCTAAATTTTTCTTTACTCCACGTTTTGGAAATGGATTGAGCAACGCAAGATTTTAGCAGCTGTTTCTGAGTGCATTACTCCCTCCCTTTTTTGTTAATCGAAATTAATGTAGGTCTTAAATATTTGGAACTGCTTATTTTAACGATAAATTAACCATGGGCTTAGATATCGCTTTCTTGTTTTTTCCATCTGTGCTGTTTAGCCATGGTTGTGTTTATAGATAACAATGATTTCATGTCAGGTTACCTGAGATACCTCGTCCAAGCAAACATTCCGATAAGTGTGCAACTGCACACATTAACAAGGAGACCCTGTCAGCTGTATGCTGTGTAGATATCTTGTCTGGTCACCTTTAACACTTGATCAACTGAACCCAACATATGCCGAGTGACCGCGATCGCCAGTGATAGTAAACATCAAAGAACCTTATGGTAAGGACATTGTTCAGGTCGGACATCTTTATCTACGATCTGCGAAGTAAACAGGAAGTCCAACGGCCATCACATGCAAAAGTTGATGTGTCATCATGCTCCGTCTTATTTGCTTTAGTTATGAAACAAACAGGTAACGTTTTTCTACTTATTGCAGTGATTCATTGTAACAAAAGAAACACAGGAAATGAGGTTCTTATTGTTTTATAGGATCGAAGTGTGTTATTCACACTCATGGGAAGGCTGCCAATCTTTTGACCCAGTTACTGAGGGATAAGGATGCATTTGAGATTTCACATCAAGAATACATAAAAGGTAATCTACACAATCCGTGTCTAGTTTTTTTACGAAAAATGCTACCGCAACCCGCTCCGCTCAACAGCGGAGGCAAAGCGCGCCGTTTGACGCTAATCGCGGCGCTTTCGCAGCTTTCATCTCGGTTACATCGCAGTGAACGCCTCGCACACGCATCGCGCGGGTGACGGTAACATACTGTAATCATAGAAGACACTCTCAAAGAATTACTACTTTTTCAGTACTTGTTTTAGGTGTTTATGATCCTTTCACCGGCAAGAACTTGAACTACGATGACACGTTGACAATTCCCATCATCGAAAACCAAACAAAGGAAGAGCATCTGCTGGTGAGCTGCAATAAGTTTTGGCATGATTACACATCACTCAGCTATGCAGACATTGCACAAGTTGCTTCCGCAGCGGCGGGCGTTTCAACCCATTTCAACGCACCGCGTCGCGCGCGGCTAAAATTTTTTCATGTCAACACTGATCACTCAGAAAATGAATCGAATCCATTCAGCCAGCTCTGGAAGAATGCTTAAAAGTAAATCAACGTACTTGTGCCGTTCTTGTGAGAAATCACGGTCTATTCGTTTGGGGAACAACATGGGAAAAAGCGAAAATAATGTAAGTTTACGAGTACAATAGAGACGCTCTGCGAACTCTCCTTTCCAGGGCGGAGTGCATCGACTACCTTCTGGATTTGGCCATTGATATGATTCGATGTGGAATTCCTCTCGTTAAAGATTCTACTATGGAAAGATCAGTCGATCCTGACGAGGAGTATCGGCACATATTCTATGCTCAGTAGGAGGGAAGTGTAGTCACTAAGATTGTCATTTCGTGGAACGGGTTGAATGTTCGCTTTTCTTTGCTTCTGCTCAGGGTCATACACGCTAAAAAATGAAGAAAATTGTTTTCCTTCGCAAATCTCAGATTTTGTTGTTCTCCAATCTGGTCTCATTCGATTTACATAAACGATGGATTATCAGGATTTGTACTTAAAAATTAAGTGTCTTTTTTGCTTCTTTAAGGTCGCCTATCAAAAGCAGGTTTGCAGTAAAAGTTCATGCCAAGCCTAAGCAGCAGTGATAAATGGGATATATACAAAATCAATATTCAAATGCCCAGAAATCTTACAGATAAGTCCATTTTTGACCTAGATAAGGCCCCTCAGATAAGTCTGCCCTACAGGCAAGTCCTTTTCCTTTCCATTATAACAATCCTAAAATCTTGTCAGATAAGTCCGAAGACTGTCAGATAAGTCGGAGTTTATCGGACTAACTTATCTGGTGGGAGGCCTTATCTGTAAGGTTTTAGGGTGGCGAGAAGATGTCTTTCTTTTTTAGACATTCAAGTAAGACTCTTAAAGCTAAAAGGCTAGACGAAGACAGCTGTAATCACACCTAAGCAAAGTGTTTGCAATTTTTTGAGGTCTTGTGCACTGACTTGTGCAACAGGGCAACAAAGTGGTCCTGAAGTGCTGCACAAGGGAATTTCCTTTACAATGTTAAATAAGTTTGGTTCATGATATGTATATTTTGCCACCCACAGTACAAATTTTATACCCTATTCAAAGTTAACAATATTCTTATCTCGAATCTTTTGTAGATTTTTAGTAACACTAATGAAGAATTTTTCTCAGATCTGCAATATGGAACGGAACACAGACCGCTCGCCGTTACGGTAAGCGGTGGGAGCTTTCATGAGGATTTTCTGTAGGTGAAATCCATTTTCTCAGGGAAGTTTCAGCTGATGGCTCCGTAAATAACTCAGTCACAATTGCTCACCTGAGATTTAAACTCACACACTCTTCTGAGTTCTGAAATACATACAAAATTCCAATCTCACAAAGCAATCGCATGCTTTTGTTAGAATCAAATTTTAAAGCTAATTCACCGTTAGCGTCTAATGTAATCTTACGCTAATGGATGTAGGTGTATACGGTACCTACCTTTAAATGTGTGTATGATTGCAAAGGTACTGGCAAACAACATCAGCAAATTCATAGAGACCCTTCGTATATGATGTACGTTGTATCTTGTATTAAACCGCGGCGAAACTTCTGCTATTTCATACGTAGCCATGAGAGGTCATTGAACATTGACAGAGAAAGGCTTGGGTAACATCCATCTTGACCTTTAATCCTCTTTCTAACAGGTATACTTCTCAGTGATCTACACAGTTTTTGCGAAGTTATCGCCATGACTGCTTGAGCAATCTTGAAAGAACGCTCATGCGTTTTGTAGCATTCTAATTAAGAGCTAAGCATATTACTTAGGATCACTTCTTGTTATATTTTAGTCACTTTATATCGTTTAGTTTGTTTTTGAATACTCCATAGCCATTCCAACAGATACCACGCTTTTGTATACAGTAAGCGGGCGGGCGCCCAAAAATTACATAAACCTAAGCTTTCAAACCAAAAATTTAGAGTCCTGCAAATAAATCTCGAAGAAAGTCAATCTTTGATACGCCAATTCGAAAACTTTCATGTTAATTTTACAGGAAATCCGGATCTCCAAATAAATGTTTTTCTAAGATTTCGAGCAGACTGGAAGAATTTTCGGCAGCTCGGTATAATCCATGCGTGATCACTATTTTTTCCAAAGGTCTAAAATTGGTTTTCGAAGTCTACTCGAATCTTAAGAGGATATGAATGGAATTTGAAGAATTTTCAGCAAAAATATGAAAGTATTCAAAGTTGTTATTTGGGGAGCTAACCTCCAATGAGGAGGAGGGCGCATCGAATGCTTGTTCAGTGCATGCTAGTCATTCTAATATAAGATTTTGTAATCGCTCAAAAAACAGACACATCTTTCGCGATAATCTGTCATAAGGTGTAAGTCATTTGAAAAATTATATTTGATCTCTTGAACTTCTTCTCGACTCAATTTTCAACTTGTTATTCTTTACCAGCTCCTATCGCAGTGATATATAATTTTAACTTCAGGAACAGCGCATCTTCAAAGCGCATCTTCCTCTTTGTCAAAATAATCGAATCAGACAAAGTCGTTCAATAGCAGGAAGAGATTTTTTACAAATTGGTGCAAGACTCAACATAGTGCAGTATTGCCGCGCTTTATCAACCCACAATCTGAGAAAATAATCACAGCTGCAAATCGAACATGTGACTACAAATATCTGGTAAACATAAGTCTGAGAGTGCTAAAAAATGAAAATCCCTTCAAAATGACCGGAATCAGCGTAAGTAGCACTGTGTTTTTTCTTTTGTAAGAATGCAGGAGGTGTTGAACGAGCGTTTTGCGGGACGAGATTGACAGGCGCGTATGCGTCAACTGTGAACTTTCTAGCGATGAATTCGCCGAATTGCATATGTTTGACATGTTGTGGGTGTATTTCGCCGAGTCATTTCGGCCCTGCGTTCTCTACTCAACCAAAATTGCGAGATTGAATACTTTCTGTATATTATGTTCTTCACAGATACTTATCTTATCGTAGTTCCTGCGAAGAAGAGGATTTTGTCGATTATTTTATATTAATCGCTATGGACGCTCCTTTGATTTTGCGGCATCTCAGAGTTCGAAATCAGATTCTAGCAGACTGCATTGTTTCAAATACATAGGTCCCTGACCAGAAGCAACTGCAAGAAAAATTTTGAGATCGAGGTCGCTTTCTTACTCTTTTGATTCACTCTCGTAACAATTTTTTTTTATTTATTCTCAACATTTTTCAATATGAAAAGATGTCTGTGGCCAAAAGCAACCGCGAGAAATCATTTAAGATCGAATTTTTGACCTATTCGTTTGCACTGATTCTCGTAAGAAATTTTTTTGAATTTATTGATTCTTCATGACAATTATCGTTTCAGAGAAATAATTAGCCGTACCGCTGGGAAAATTAACATTCTTTTATCGTTGGCAATGCAGCATATTTTGAAATAGAATCCCAGTATTCGAAAAACTTTTTTCAGTTTTCACCTTTAAAAGTTCATGTTCATAAGACTGTAATACCGTACGTACATTAAAACCGAAAGATCAGCAGCTCTGCAATCACATGGCGATAGTAGAAACATTTTGTATCGCGTTGATTTCTACATTAATCGTAGTAGCATTGAAAAAGTGACCAAAAACCGGTAAAAAATTGCTTTTCAACAGTAGGGACTGGTGAAAATCATGAATACTCTTGAAAAGTCACTTAAAAGAAAATCTGAAGCACGGTACTCATGATTGAAGCTCCGTCTGGATTGCAGCATCGTCCCGGATATTCGTCAGTGTAAACACACGCTCGCCTTAACCTCAACGTTTGCCCCCGTGTCGTAGAGACTCGATACCGACAAATCCCTCGGTCCCCGAGGATTGACAATCGATTATCACTCAACTGATTTTCACTAATGTTCCGAATCACTCAGGCATAATGCTATGCCTGTATTCAAAATTTATAGCAATGAAGCTTCACTCCAGTGAGTATCGCTACTAGTTTGTGTGCATTTGCACATTTTCCAGGACACGGTCACCCATGAGACGTCAGTTGTTTTTTATGACTACTCTTTTCTTTATTTGTAGATTAGTCACAATCATTCCTAAAGGATTGCGAGTAATGGCATGTCATGCACTACTTGAGTGTTCTGTCCCCATCGCCAAACCTGAAAAATGTGCAACTGCACACTTAGCGAAGATTCTGCTCTGCTCTATTCCGCAACCTCCGTTTTTCGACTCCGCAGTGTGAAAAACATTGTGGACATTCTTTCCTGAAGCAATCGTACTGTCATATTGTAATTTGCTACTTCAGAATTCTAAGGCTAATTTAAAAATCTCTAAAAGCACTTTGCTTTTTAACAATTGTTTGACAAAACGGGGCCTTGGTCCCTGAAAATGCTTTTTTACGCGTGTGGAATTGGAATTCCTAGCCTTTTTACCCGGGATCTCAATCAGATCCACGTGATTTTGTCAGTCTCTTGTTTGATAAACTTTTTTCCGAAACTTCCTGTTTATCTCTGCTCGAACGTGTGCAAATCGCTGCTTTTCTTCGGATCCAGAGCACATTCATATTTGTTTTAAGGCTACTCATTGCGTGCAGTTTTTTAAGGCAAATTCGTGGAGTTTGAAAAGGCTTCAGTGTAATGGTTTATGAAAAGCTTGAAGTTCATTCCTTTTTTGTAAAGTTCAATATCTCCTAATACATACCTCTTAGATAGGGGCTCTCGCCTAATTAATTGTGAACTAATCTGCCGAATTCTTCAATCTAGGATAGATTTTCAAACATGCTTGTGCATTGTATCTTTTATGGTAGCTAATCTGGTATAAAGCTGAGGAAGGAGAAAAATGCCTCTGACATAATCTCAATTCTCATCATTTTTAGCCCTTCATATAATATCTTCTCATTAGCGTTTTTACATACTGCTTGTAACTCACTTATTGCAATTGATTATACGTTGCAATTTCATCCAACAATGTAGCGATGAAGTGTGGAAATTTGATATATTTGATATATCATAAGCTTTGAAAAAATTCACGTTATTTGAAATGTTGGAATAATTTAGCAGGTCGCTGACTACAGCTATTCATCTTAATTTTTTAGAGTAGGATTCAGTGAAGAAAAAGGAAAATTCAATAAGCTTGACGGAGTTATCCAAAAGCAGGAATCAAAATTCTGCGACCTGCCAATTACTTTATTTTTCATTAGTTGATGCCCATTACTGCGACTCGCATTGAAGCTTGCTTAAAAAATGCGATCAAAAATAAAAAGAGACATAATTACCTGTAATGGAAGTAACTAGGGAGTTTGGAAGCAGTGTTAAGGCAACTCTGTTAGCTTGTTTCTCATGTTGATGAATAAGAGGTTAGCTGATAAAATTTCCAATCAGTGTACTTGACTTATCGCGCATACGATTGGTTTGCTCAGAAAGTATATGGTGTGGATCGCAGATATGAGCTGTCGCTTTTGTAGCCTTATTTGTGACCCTCGAACCAGATTGCACGAACTTACACCAATACCC